GGGCTGCCTCAGCTCACTGGGCAGTCAGAGAAGGGAGGTTTGGGGGACAGGTTCAGGGGATCAGCCTGGGACAAGCTGCCACCGCCCACTTCCTAGAGTTTAGGAGACCCGTGCCTGTGGGGGAAGAAGCGGGGGAAGAGAAAGGGAGAGGAAATGGTGCAGGCTGCTCCCAGAGGGAGAGCGTGTGTGCTAGGTCCTTCGTCTTGAGGTTTTTATTTCTCTCTTGCAGGCGGGAATCTTAGGGGAGGTCTCAGGGAAGGGTTTCATCATTTTTCCAGGTGTGTTCTTTCAGGGTCATGGTCTCCACTGATTGGTCAGTGACAGGGCAGGGGGTCTTCAGTCATTGCAGTTGGTTCTGACATTGCCAACCTGGTTTTGCTGCTCTTCTGGGCCTGGAGCTGAAATATAACTGAGGTCTAGATGTTATCTCCAGGGAGGAAAGGCCAGGGGAGGAAAGGTCACCCTGGGGGTGAGGTCCTTGTGAGTTTTCCCCCTGCCTGGCAGCGCTCAGGGCCTTCCGCCCTAGTGACCATCTGCACCTGGCTGTAAATTGCTTGGCCACTTTCTTCAGCTATCTGTCTCAGTTTTTCTATTCTACTTGCCAACGAATTTTCCTAGCTTCCTACTATCCTGTCTCAGCCCTTACACCCTTCCTTTCCAATAAGCCAAGCAAATCCTTCCCACTGAGATCCCGGATGACTACATGATTGGCACCTGTCAGCACAGAGTTGTCGCCATCTTTCTTTGCCTTGTGGTTCCTCTTTCTAAGCTGTGCCCATCACAGAACAGGGCCCGAGCGTCTCCCTGGCTCACATCATTAGTGGTCTTTGATGCCAATATGTGGCTTAGTGACATCCTGCAGCTGCTGAATGGGTGTGTCAGGAGCAAGGGAGAAGCTGAAACTCCCGGCCTTGGCACTTAATGTCTAAGCTCGAGACTCCAGTGAAAACGTGTGGTGTGAGTTCAAGACCCCTCAGCCCTGTGACAATCACATTGAGATAAGAAAGAAAGACCTTGATCTTTGCTTTGAATGATTAAACCTTCAGACCACCTGGTGCGACTCCACCATTCTGCTCTCACGTGTGTGGTCCCACCATCCGCCCACCTGGGTTTCAAGAGCGCAGCTGGACAGAGGTGTGGAACCTCTCCGGGACGGCATGACCAGGCCCACATGCTCCAGCTTCAGGTTGGGCTTCATTACGGTTATTCGGGAGGACCTCTTCCTTGGTCCAAACTCTCCATTACTTAACTCTTGCCTGGGTAGCAACCAGGATCTTTTGCTGGGATTTCCAAGGATATCATGGCCAGTCCCTTCCCACAAGGACTCTTGGGTGCGCCTTGGTCCCTTCCCACTCGGGACCTCCCAGAAGCCAATGTTGCCCATGACACACCGTCTTATTTAAGGTCAAATGTTAATTGTTGGAAATTTTTTGGAAATCTAAGATTATACAATGATGGAAAAATTGATCAAAATTAAGCTTTTCTGTCTCTTTGTTGACTTAATTACCAATAATATTAACTAATGCTTGCTATGTGCAAGTATTCTAATTATTTCCTATATAGTAACCATTTACTATTTTAATAATAGTAAAAATGTTACTATATTTTTAGCCCGAGGGGAGAGAGAGGCCATTGTCATTGCCTCCATCACATAGACAGGGAGCTGAACACGAGGCCAGCAGCATGGAAGTACAGGAGCTGGGGTTGGAACCCAGCCTGACTGGTTCCGGACAATGACACCAGCCAGCAAGCTACTGACTCAGTCTGCCCTGAGGGTGATCCAGCCTGGGAGGTAACTGTAGCTCAGAGAGGTCAGGCCACTGAATAAAGACACACAGCTGGTGCCTGGTGGCGTTAGGGTTCAGACTCATCTGTCTAGATGCAGACAAGGCGCTCCTCCCACTGGGCTAAGTTAGACCCCTATGAAGGACGAATTGTCTTGTTGAGTGCTCAGTACCAGGCACTGACCTGTGTGTCTTTACGTATCTTGTCTGCAAAGTCTCTGAGCTCTGCCCACTGGGAAGTGTGCTCCATGTCCCTTCTCCCTGATCCTAGGTAGACTCTGATTTGACCAAGGGTATGGCAGAGTGATGCTCCATGACTTCCAGTGACAGTCCATAAAAGGTCATGCACCTTCTGCCTGGTTCTCTTGGGAGGCTTGCTCTTGGGGAAGAGAAAAGTCTGGCTTCCCAGAGACTGTCTTCCTGGACAGGCCACGTGCAGGCACTTCAGTCGACAGCCACAGCCGAGCTCTCCCACATGGGTGAACCAGCTTCGATGTCCAGCTCAATCCAGGCCACACGTGTCTGCAGCCCCAGCCAACATCTGACTACAACCACGCGACAGACCCCCGAGGAAGAACCATCCAACTGGGCCTGTTGCAGATTCCTGACCTACAGAGTTATGAGCAAAATAGAGTGATTGAAGCCACTATGTGTTGGGATACTGTCTGACACAGCAGTAGTAAGTATAACATTCCTTTGAGAAATGTTAGCCTGACTGGGCTATTGAAGAGAAATATGAAGTAGCTCAGAAACGGCCAGTGGGTTCACACTGCAGCAAACCTGAGCTCCCTAGTCCCTTCTGGTCACCTGGCTTAGAGACCCAGGTTATGAGCTCTGGGCTTGGAGTGCCTAAGCTGGAGTCTCAGCTGCATCACTTAGTAGCCAGGTGAACCTGTACAAGCATTTCACTTACCTGAGCCTCAGTTTCCCCATCTATGAAACAAGGCCAACAATAGCCCCTTCCCTCATTGGTTTGTGAGAGGCTGATGCTGGTGAAGCCTCGGGTGCAGCACCTGGCCCATGGAGGCACCTGCTGGAAGCCAGCAGGCAGGGTGGACACGGTCAGATGCCAGGCCAGGGAGGCTCAGTGGGGTCGACAAGAAGCAGTGGGACAGATGAGAAGAGTGCAGGCAGAGAGGAAAGCAGAAACTGAAGGAGAAGGGGGTGGTGAGGGTCTGGAAGTTTCTGTTGTGTGCAGGGTGCTGGGACAGGGGCTGCCAGGCCAGGTGGGCTTTGGGAGCCCAGTTGGGGAATGACATTGTTAAGGTGCCCTCAGGTGGCAGCTCTGCTGACGATGCTCCTGGAATACTTGGGCTAGGAAGAGTGTCCACACAGCTGTCCTGGATGAGCAAGGAGCCTGAAGAGTTGCCCTAAAAAGCATCATTAAGAAGGTGGAGTTCTGAGTTAGAGTGGCGAGCATTTTCGTATTAACCACCCCCACCCCCACCCCCACTCACATGCTGGGCCATGAGAAATTCCATCCTGCTTAGCTTTCCTTCCCCTCTGCTGGGCTGGGGACCCAGTGTATTCCACTCCCCTGTACCCAAGGTATAATGGTACACAAAGTGGTGGCAGCTGAGTGGGCAAGAACATGAGTTCAAAACCCAGTTCCTCCACTGAGGAGCTGTGTGGCCTGGGGAAAGCTACTTACACTCTCTGTGCCCTGTTTCATAATGATTACAGCAGCAGTCTCAGAGGATTGTTGTGGGTGAACAGGATGATGTGTGTGCAGCTGGGTACCTGAGAGGTATCTGTTAATAATACAAGTCTTCTCCATTTGGGTTTGCCCTTTGTCAAAGTGAGGATTGTTGGTCTGGAACAAGTTGGTTCACCTCTGAATACTTCAGTACTTGGAATAGAGCCCACTACGTAGGTGCTTAATGAGTATTGAATGAATGAATGTTGAGCTGAGAATGATATGCTTCAAGAACTGAGAGAAGAGAGAAAAAGAAAAGAAATGAAAAGAGGCAAAAGAGAATGTGTACATTATTCTTTATCCGTATTTGAGCTGCATCAAAATCTGGGGAGTTTCTGGTTTTCTGAATCCATGCTCCACTGCACCGAGGGATCATCTTCTCTCATCCCTGCCCTGAGCATTCTCCATCTTTATTCCCACAAATGCTCTCACCTGTCCGGGTACTCCAGGCCCTGAGGTCCTAGAGGGGGCTTGTCTGAGCCTGCTTACCACTGCATAGCACAGGGCCTGATTGTGTGAAGGAATGAATGATGAATGAGCTGATTCCTATGTCTTCATGCAGCAGGAGGACAGGCTCCTCCTGCATGTGCTGGCACATAGTAGGTCCACACTATGTGACTGAATGGGAAGCACAGGAAGTCCTTTAGCTCCTCCCACCTTGGTTTCTTCACCTACCGGCATGGTCCTTAGGTTTACATGTTTCAAAGGCTATTCCTTCTGGCTCTAAATTGGTTTGTTACAGATGCTAACTGCCTGCAGGCAAAATGTAGCTAAAGCAAGGTTTGAACCTGTGCTGCTGCCCACTAGCTGTGGGGACTCCCTTCTCCAGGCCTCAGTTCCCCAGTCTGTGAGATGGGATTATTTCCATCTCACTGGATTGGATAACAAAGATAAAGATGCTTCACCTGGATCGCGCCTGGTTTTACTGCCCTCATCCAGTATAATCTCCTAGTTTTCATCTGCACAGTGAGAAGAGAAAAAAAGGGAGGGAAGGAGGGCAGGAGAAAGGGAGGGAGCGGGAGAGAGAGAGATAGGAGAAGGAGAGATTAAGTCAGGTGGCAAGAGTGAATTTTCTACCCACGTGCAGAGGATGAGAATAAATTTAGCAAGTGCGTATTTTGCGCCAGTTTACGTGCCCACGCCCTTCCCGATTTTATTTCTTAGAATCCTGGGAAGACACCTCCTTATTCCCATTTTCCATTTGAGCCGCAGAAACGGGATTTGGTAAATTTGCAAACCCCTGGTGGAAAGTACTTGGCACCGTGCCAGGCAACTGGTAAGCGCTCAATGGAACTGATACTTTTATGGTCAAGATGAGGAAACGGAGTGCGTCCTTCTAGTAGGATGCGGGTGGTCCTGGCCGCTCTCGGGGCTCGAGGGCCAGGGCGGGGCGGAGAGGGGCGGGGTGAGCCAAGGGGGGCGGGTCCTGAGGGGCGGGGCAGAACAGGGGCCGCGACTGCGCGGCCCTATCAGCTCCGCCGGTTCCCGGGGGGCGTGGCCTATGGGCTAAGGGGGGAGCATACAAGAAGAGGAGCATCGAGCCCCCGGATTCACTGCTTCCTTCGGCGGCTCTGCTGTCTGGTATCCTGCTACCGTCCTGTCCCGCTGAGCCAGTGCTGCCGCTGCTACCGACACCTCCGCTGCACAACGCGGGAGACGCCAGCGAGCTGGTGATTGGAGCCTTGTAAGTGTGACTTAGATTCCTTTACTCTCTCCGAGCTTTGATCCATTCCCATAATCTCCGAGGAGCTGAAGTAACCAGGGCAGAGGCCAGCTCTTGGGGCTTACTGTGTGCAAGCACTAAACTGAGCGCCCACTTGCATCTCAAAACTGGGCTCAGCAGCCAGCCGGTTCACAGCGGGAGAAACCGAGACTTCCAGGGCAACTCAGTTGCTCAAGACAACAGCCAGGAAGGGAGGGAGCCAGGACTGAAAGCCAGTCTGACTGCGGAGCCGTACTCCTGAAGGCTGTGTACTCTTGCCTTCCTGTGCAGTTTGCTAGCGTCTGTTGTGTTTCTGTGTACACGCTGGGTGTCAATCAATGGAAAGCTGATGGTGTGGATGTGGCATGAGTTTGAATTTGTCTACCCACATGTGGCTGGCCAGTTCGTTTGCAACACACCTGCCAGGTAGCCTTCCTCTTCCCATGTTTCAGATGAAGACACGGGATTAGAGAGGTGAAGCGAGTTGTCCAGGCAGAGCTGGGGCTGAAACCCACCTCTGTCTGTCTCCGAAGCTCCAGATGGCCGTGGATGTGTCCGGGCCTGGGGCACCAGAGTTCTTGCAGGTTCGGGAACATGTTCCTGGGTATCTTCAATTGGAGTGGACATTTGCATAAACTCATGGGGCAAGAATTGTGCTGGGAGCTGAGGGCTTGGTTCTGCAGTCCTGAGGAGATGGGCTACCTTCACGTGGGGCAGACCCAGAACCTCCTTTGCCAAATGCTAGGATGGTGGACAGGCTGGAGAGGGTTTAGCTGATACTTGCTGATTGAAGTCTAACTTGAATCAGGCATCTTTCAGCCGAAAGGTGAGTTGCTGCTCAAGAGAAGCAGATGGGGGCCTGTGCAAATGCCCAGCTTGCCCTGCAACCTAGAGCAGGTTTGTGAGTTTTCACCTCAAACATTTGGGCCCCTGATTCTGGCAGAATAGGGGGAGCTACTGTTTCCAGCTGGGCCAGGGCATCTAGGGTCTAGAGACTGACAGGTGAAAGACTAGGGTCCTGTGGAAAAGGACAAAGGGCAGGTTCCCTTCCCCAAATAGGCTGAGAAGGGACCTTCCAAGGGCTCTTTGTGTTTTGTGCACCTGCTCTTCTGCTTCTGATCTGGCCGTTTGCACGTGGGGGAGGAGCAGGAGTTGGGGGGGCTATCCTGCTGGTGTGGCAGGTGTGAGGCCCTGTGCCATGCACTGTACCTGCATTATTATCCCTAAAACACATCTGGGCAGCAGGCCTCCTGATCCCCATTTCAAAGAGGTGAAGTGCATGTCAGGGTCCCCTAGCTGGTGTGCCATGCTGTCACTCCCAGGTTTGTCTGGCTACGGACCCTGCACTTAACTGCTAAGCCCTTTAGACAGTTCTCTGCCCAGCCACTAACTCCACCTCTGAATCTGACCTTCACACAACGTGTCTGAGGTGTTGTTTTGTCTGAGAGGGGCTCCAGGTAAAACTGCTATCAGCAGAATTGATCCCAAGCCCCAAGTTTTCAACCATGTATCCTGGGAGGACAATAAAGAGGGTCACTTTCATTTTTACAGAGTCTCTTAAGATATAGGAGTTGGAGTAGTAATGATAACATTTGTAATCATACCAGCCTGACATTTACTTAGCACTTAGTATGGGTCAGCCTTGCCCAGGATTTTACATGGATGACCTCACTGACTTTTTTATGGAATGGGCACTGGCCTGTCCTTCTTTCTACAAGGAGGGAATTTGAGGCTTGGAGTGACGAAAGCATGTACCCAGCATGACACAGCCAGGGCAGGGGAGATCTACCCTCCTGGCTGGGTCCTGTCCCACATCCTGGAAGAAAGTACTCATGCAACAGCGAGCCACTTAACTGTCACAGCAGAGCTTGCTGGGGGAAGTCGAGGCTTCCCATACCCTGTGGGATCTAGGTCCCTGGCCTGGGTTAGGGGTGGACCTGCAAAGGGGATGCACTGACATGGGGGCTTGGGCCCCACTCCGCCAACAGGTACTGGTATCAAGGCAGAGAGCCCTGTCCCAGGACCCAGATCCATGCTGGCTTCTGGAGTCCCGTTCCCAGACTGGCGAGAAGAGCTGGCTGGCTGGGGGCAGGAATGGAGCCCCTGCAGAAGAGCACGGGGCCTCTGAAAGACCCCACATTTCATCTCCCTCAAAGACCTCATGTTGGCTGTCTGGCCTTCGGTCAGTTGCCTTTAGTCAGCTGCATTTGAAAACTGGCTTTTAGAGGTGGGACCCCCAACACTGACCTCTTCAGCCTTGTGGGAGCTGGAACATTTCTTCTCTCTGTCACCAGTGTAATTTACTATGTATGGGAGGTGCCTCTGTGTCTGCTTGCTCCTGACCTATGAGGCTTTTTCTTTTTTCTTTTGCAAACTCACTGGTTTTTGATCAGTCCCAGATGTGCAAACCCAACATCAGTCAAAGGGGCTGATGGCTTGTCAAGGAAGGAAACTACGACACAGGCATCATTTTGTTCCATCTTCAGTTCATGGAGCTGAATAGATCCTCAGACCTTCGTGGGGCGGGGGTCCAGAGCCCCTCAGAAAGTCCCAAATGGAGCATGCTTTGTTCTGGGACAGGGAGGGTTGGGTGGTTGGTAGGGCCAGCCATGCCCCCCTTTTTTTCCTTGGAAAGAAAAAAGTTTTATGTGGTAAAATATGCATAGGCATAATGTTGGCCTTTTTAACTATTTTAAAATGTACAGTTCAGGGACAGTTAGGACATTCACAGTGTTGTGCAGCCGTCACCACTGTCTGAGTCCAGAACGTTTTCACCCTTTCAGAAGGGGGCCCTGTCCGCATCACAAGGAGTCACTCCCCTTTGTCTCCTCCCCAGCCTCTGGCAATGACTAAGCCACTTTCTGTCTCTATGGATTCACTCTTCTTGACATTTCATATAAATGGAGTCACACATGTGTGGCCTTTTGTGTCTGGCTTCTTTCATCTGGTCTGATGTTTTCAAGGTTCATCCATGTGTTAGAGCTCCAGTCCTTTTGATGGTTCAGTAATGTTCCGTTATATGAATTGACTACATTTCACTTATCCATCCTTCCATTGACGAAAATTTGGATAGTTCCTCATTCTGCCTATTGTGAATAATGCTGCCATTAACATTTGTGTACATGTTTTTTGTTTAAACACCTAGTTTCAATTGCTTTGGGCCTATACCAGGAGCGGAATTACCAGGTCACATTAACCTATTGAGGAACCGTGTTCTCTTCTTGACTCCCTTCTGAAAGAAACATCAAGTCAGGTCATCTCATTTCAGAATCGGCCAAGGCCCTCTGCTCTGGGTGCAGGGAAGTCTGGCATCTGGGGGTTCTGGGGGAGGCGTTGGCATTCCCCCCAGGGTCCCAGCAGCAACAGGCAGCGAATCCTGACTGAGATGTTGCCCTGGAGGGGCTGCGCTTTGTCCCGCAGTCTGTGCAACTGTGGGCACCGGCAGGCAGACGCCCCCCTTTCAAGGCTGTGAGGACAGACAGTTTCTCGTGGTTGAGGCTGAAGGAGATTTATCTTCTCCGTTGTCTCCAGTGCTGTGTCAGCTTAGACAGAAGCCACAGATTCGGGGGGAAAGGAGAGGATTATGCAACTGCTGGATCATCATTTAAAAAATATTATAAATTATGAAATCCTACATTTTCAATCTGAATTTCTGGAATGTACTCCATTATGAATGCAGAGTGACACTATCTCAGCAGGAAAAAGAATCAAGCTTCTGTCTCACTTGCAGTCAAGTGGTCCTGGAACTGACCCTGGCCCCAAGTTCTTTTGGATTGGTCAAAGCCCCCCCGGAACTCTCTAGGAGTGGCTACTTGCATCCTGCCGATATCTGCTGAGACTGGCTTGAGAAGAACCTGAGAAATCCTTCTGGAGCAAAGAGGCAGTGTTTTCTGGCAGGGAAAGGTGATCGAGGGTGGGGTGTTTGCAAGGGCTCACCGAGTGGAGGCACCACGTGTGCGTGCAAAGGCCTGGAGGTAGGAAGGGGCCTGACACTCACGGAGAAAGACAAGAAAGTTCCGTGTGGCTGGAGTTTACTTTAGGGGTCAGATTCAGGAACATCAAGGGTCTGCGGTGCAGGTGCGGTGAGCCCTGCTGAGTTTGGATTCCCTGCTACGGGCTGGGCTGCGGGGCTCAGGAGTATAACAGGGTGGTGCTTTCACTTGAGAACAGATCACTGTGGAATGAGCAGTGTCCCCCAAATTGTGGGGAGTCCATCCCTGCTGGTCTCCTAGATGACTGAGTGTTAGCACAGACACAGCAGCAGCAAAGCCCACCAGCCCAGGGGCTTTTTCCTCCGTCTGCCTATGGCGGGGCCAGCGTTTCAGGTGGTAGTCAGTCCCTCATGTTGCTCCCGCACCCCACCCCCACCTCCCCTACAACAAAGAGAGCACTTTCTGCAACGAAGCCTCTGGCCAGTTTCGGGACCCAGCTGGGAGGTCCTCGCTTGGTTCTGTTTTCATTGTGTTTAATTCTATTCCGGCCCCTATTCAAGGTGGAGGTGATCAAGTTCTCTGCAAATGGTGGTAATGGAAAGTTACCTCTTAAAAGTAAAATTTTCTGAGCCCTCAGACTGGGCCAGCTCGAACAAAAATACAAAATACGCGCTAGTCCACGTAGGCGGTGAAGCTGGACGAAACTGGGGAGGGGCTGTGCCAAGGACTGAAGATGGGGAAATGCCGGGTTGAGGTGGGGAACGAGATTTGAGCGGCTGTTACCACCTGGAGCAGCGGTTCTCAAAGTGGGGTTTCACTGAAACCTGGGGGATGATGCACAGCAGCCCCTGGGAACTCATTAGAAATGTAGATTCTCAGGCCCCTCCCCAGACTTCCTGAATCAGGAGCTGTGGGAGTGGGGCCAGCCATCTGCCTTAATGAGGCTTCCAGCACTTTCTGGCGGAAGTCCATCCGCCAGACCTACTCAAATGTGAGACCTACTGCCCTAGAAAGCCGATGAAGCCTCACCCTGGGCCCTGACGCAGAAGG